AACAGAAACATTCATCTATAAAATAATAATTTAACAGAAACATTCATGTATAAAATAATAATTGAACAGAAACATTCATCTATAAAACAATAATTGAACAGAAACATTCATCTATAAAATAATAATTGAACAGAAACATTCATGTATAAAATAATAATTGAACATTATTTATGTGAGGAGCAGCTTTGAGTTTAACTCCATCACTGAACTCTCATCTTGAACAAGCATGAAGGCGACAGTGGAAAGAAAAACTCCCTCATGAGGAAGAAACCTTTAGCAGAACCAGGATCAGGACAAGAGGACCATCTGCTTCGACCGGCTGGGTTTGGTAAGAATAGATACACAATGGCAGGTCAAGAATCACGTGTTAAGATAGAAATAGTATCAAATGAAAACTATTCAATTTTAACAATTCATTTAAGGAAATGAGGTCAGTTTGTCCTTCAGATGAACTGGAGACATGTCCAGATGTCCTGTCTCTCACACAGTGATTGATGGACATGGGCACCGACGACCCCCATGACCCAAAATGGAAGAAGCGGGTTAAAGATGATGGATGGATCAGTGAGACCAGCCTGTAGAAATAAAGGCTGAATGAAAGAAAAAGAAAACCATGAAATAAATCATCACAAGCCGCTGCATGAGCTGCATGCTCGTTTACAAGAGACACCTGGTTTAAACAGAGAATGGAGACAACAGTGGACAGTCATAAAGGATGTGTACAATTTATTTTTTTAACATCCATCCATCATCTTTACCCGCTTCTTCCATTTTGGGTCACGGGGGTCGCCGGTGCCCATGTCCAGCAATCACTGTACGAGGGACGGGGGACACCCTGGACAGGTCTCCAGTCCATCACAGGGACACATAGAGACAAACGAGACAAACAACCATTCACTCTCTCACCTAGGGACAATTTAGAGTTACCAATCAGCCTAACATGCATGTTTTTAGTCTGTGGAAGGAAACCGGAGTACCCGGAGAAAACCCGCGCATGCACGGAGAGAACATGCAAACTCCACCCAGAAAGACCCCCGGACCGGGATTTGAACCAAGGACCTGCTCGCTGAGAGGCAGCAGCTCTACCAACTGCACCACCGTGCTGCCCTTTTTTAACATGTTAAAATAAAATGGCAACCAAAAGGAAATGTAACAAAAACATCTAGATTATAAGTCGATGTAGAAAACTAACAACAGGAACATCTGCAGGAACTTACCAGATGTTTGAAGCCACTTAGAGAGGTCAAAGGTCGAGAGCTTCAGATCTTTTTGTAAGATGTTCCAGGAAACAGGAGCGGAGTAGGAGAAGGTCCTTTTGTCTAGTTCAGTCCTCACTGAGGGAACACTGCAGGTAATGATGTCCTGAGAGCGCACGCTGTAGCTGCACTCACGCAGAGACATGTAGGAGGAGATGTATGAAGGCAGCAGACCAGGAAGGTTAAAGATTATGACGGTAAAGTGTTCAGTGAAAATCACCCGAGCAGAAAGCACACCAGTAGTTCTCACATGTCACGAGTGAAGATACAAGAATCCATCACACACAATACAACTTTATTTATAAAGCACTTTAAAACAACACCGTGGGCCAACGTGCCGTACACGAACACATACAAGCACAAAAACTATGAACTCAACAAATACCATAAAGTAATGAAGTACCAAATCATAAAGCAGCCAACAGTAACAACAATAAAACAAACAACATGAAACGGTAACACCAACATTTCAAGCTGCGTTAAAAGCCACAGAGGAAAAAAGAGTCTTCAGAGCAGATTTAAAAACAGGAAGTGATGTCAGCTTGTCCTACGTGCAGGTGAGTGCAGGTTGCATTAGAACAGTCACCAGGTGATCTGGGCACCTTCAAACTGCAACTACAGCACTAAGTGTGGCGTCACCCCTCGGTGATGCAGGACGCATGTTGAGCAAGCAGCTCATCAAATCAGTGCAATACATTTATCGTGTGCACAATCCCAACGGTTCGTACTGGCCTCGCTCCAGACTGCACAGTGGCTCTTACCTTTACGAGTCCTTCTTTGACTGAAGCACATTTGACTAAACTTCACGTTTAAACAAAACCAACGTTTGCTCTGATAAACTGAACACAAATAAAACCAAACCTGTGGTCGCGTCAAACATCTGCTGAGATCATGAGAATCCAACGCAGACTTGTTCCTGTAGTTTTCTACACCGCCTCTCAACCTAGCTGTTTTTATTTGTTACATTTTATTTTAAATACCATGTTCTCATCCTTTATGATTGTCCACTGTTGTCATGGCTCTGTTAAAACCAGTCGTCTCTTGTAAATGAGACGAACCAGTCTGACAAACCAACTCCTGCTGGTTCTCTCAGGTTCTCTCTCATGTCAATAAATTCCTCCGGGATGTTTTTCGCCCCCGGCCTGAAGATTCCTGAGCAGCTGCCACACCTCGTCTCCTCGCTCCGGTGGCTTCTCGAACACCCAGAGCTGGGTTCATCTGCCACATTCTGATCCCATCTAACCCATAAAGTCACATTTCAGCCATTTTCAGCTGAAAACTCCAGCTCACAGCTGATTAAACGTTGATGCGATCAGTTTAAGAATCGAAGGAGTCAGATGTTCCCAGAGAAACGTGTTTTTCTGCCCTCAACGGTTTATTCTGACCTCTGACCCGTCCTCTAACAGCTCCTGTCCCTCCAGGGAGGCTCAGTGATGATGAAGGGTGTACCTCCTCCTCCCCTCAGGGGGAGGCAGGCCTGATTTCCTGCTCGTTTCCAGATGTTTATGGTGACTAAGGTGACAACATCTGGTAGCTACAGATGTTTTCTCTGGTGTCGGTCTTGTTTGTATTTTTTCATAATGTGAAACGGTCTCGTCTCACCTGGAGCTCGTGAAAACCTGCCAAACCCGAGCCCACAGCTCTGCGTGCCCCGACCTGACATGAGGACATGTCCTCTAGGGGAGGACAGCAGGGCTCCTGCCGGAGAGCTTCGGGAGGTTTCCCATCACAGATTGTTTTCAAGCTCTAATCTCTTCTCATTGTTTGAGACGCTCCGAGGAAGTCTGCAGGAATTCATGGCATCCTGATATGAAGCCGTTACTCCCCCTCACACTGAGGGAGGAGGCTGCTCCTCATGGGGAGGGACGGAGGAGGCCGCTCCTGGCAGGGGGAGGAACTCAGACGTGTATATGAGCAGCGAACACCTCCCAGATGTTGGGAGAAGCTCCTGCAGGAGAGGCTGTGATCCCAGCGGACCCGTTCAGATCCAGGTGAGTCCAGTTTCTTCATGTTGAAACGTTGACTTCCTGTTTGACCTGAAGGAGACGTGAGGCGGCGACGAGCCGACACCCTCAGATAAGGAAACGTTCCTCTGATCACCTTTGACCACGCTTGTCACCAACGAGCCCGAACACGAGTCGCTCTCCTCAGGAACCCATGACCTCATTCTCTCCACGCCTGCTCCTCCGGTGCTGCCGGCGCCGAGGAGGAGCTCCGGCAGGAGGAGCGGTTCGGTCAGCTGACAGCTGCAGGTCATGAAACGCTCCTGAAACTGCAGAAACTCAGCCGAACACAGGAAGTTAGAGCTCAGCCAGCAGCTTGCACTCCTGAGCACTGCACGGTCTGACCTTCAGGGTGAATCTGCAGGGGTACAGGTTTTCCATCTTTGTCTCTGTAGTATGATGACTGACCCTTCACAGGTTGGTGGGCAGCAGCAGTTGCTTCTCTGGGGTCATTGCTGATGTCTTTCCGCCCTGGCGTTGTGCACCAGTGATGATGTCAGGGCAGGCAGTGGGCTCAGTGAAGACTTTATCACTTTATTGATGCTCATTTATTTGTCTTTCTGACCCGAAGGCCAACGAGGCGTTCGGTAAACAAATAAAACGTTTAGAGGCTGAGCAGCTGCAGAACCAAGAGCTGGACAAACAGAACCTTTGGTCCGGGTCCGCTCGGCGGTCCTCCGTGTTTGATCCGTGTTGTTCTGCACCTTGGGACCTCCTGAAGGACAGGTCACAGTTTCAGACCAGAGACAGGAGTCTGTGTCGGTTCGTTAAGAAATCACTTCAAACTGAGAAACAGCGACAGATTTTTGATTCTACAGAAATATTTTAAAACGATCGAATGAATCTGGTCTTGATGAAAGGAGGAGACCCCTAAAGACCAGTCAGTCCACAGGGACAGGTGCGTCCTTTAGGTGTCTTCAGTCTGTGCTCGGGCTGCTGGTGTCATGGCGTGTAATGAACATGGAAGCTGAGGACAGAGTCTAAGCGGAGACACCGTGACGTCTTCAGGCTGCAGCAGGAGTCTCTCTGGACACATTTCATCTCAGGACCTTTCAGCTCCTGCACAAGTTGAAAGGTTCCTCCCTCAGAGAGCAACAGGTTGTTCTTCAAAGACCTCGCTGTTTTCAGGCAGAACTTCAGGATCTGACGAGTTTAATGATGTCAGTCGTCTTCAGGAGCACCTGAACCTCCATGTGGAGCTAAAACCTCAGGTTCTCATGGTTGAGCTTGAACCAACTCTTTGTTCACGTCTGACGAGGCTTTTATCAGTAACCGGCCCGGGAGCTCGTCGTCTCACATTTATGTAACAAACCGTTTCATTTTCTCAACAGCTGATCTGAAGGACAGACCAGTTTTCTGCCAACAGCTACAGTCATTTAGTAGAGGACAATGGACAGGTCTTGAGTCCTTGTGGACAGGTCTCGAGTCCTTGTGGACATTGTGGACAGGTCTTGAGTCCTTGTGGACATTGTGGACAGGTCTTGAGTCCTTGTGGACAGGTCTTGAGTCCTTGTGGACATTGTGGACAGGTCTTGAGACCTTGTGGACAGGTCTTGAGTCCTTGTGGACAGGTCTTGAGTCCTTGTGGATATTGTGGACAGGTCTTGAGTCCTTGTGGACACGTCTTGAGTCCTTGTGGACAGGTCTTGAGTCCGTGGATATTAAGGACAGGTCTTGAGTCCTTGTGGACAGGTCTTGAGTCCTTGTGGATATTGTGGACAGGTCTTGAGTCCTTGTGGACAGGTCTTGAGTCCTTGTGGACTGGTCTTGAGTCCTTGTGGACATTTTGGACATGTCTTGAGTCCTTGTGGACAGGTCTTGAGTCCTTGTGGATATTGTGGACAGGTCTTGAGTCCTTGTGGATATTGTGGACAGGTCTTGA